ACACACTCACACAGTTTGGCTGATATAGACACACTCATACAGTTTAGCTGATACAGACACATTCACAAAATTTGGCCGATACAGACACACTCACACAGTTTGGTTTATATAGACACACCAACACAGTTTGGCTGATACAGACACACTCTCACAGTTTGGCTGATATATACACACTCATACAGTTTGGCTGATACAGGCACACTCACAAAGTTTGGCTGATACAGATACACTCACACAGTTTGGTTGATACAGACTCTCACAATTTTTGGCTGATACAGACACCCTCACACAGTTTGCCTGATATAAACAACCTCACACAGTTTGTTAATACAGACACACTCACACGGTTTGGCCGATACAGACCCACTCACACAGTTTGCCTGATATAGACACACTCATACAGTTTGGCCGATACAAACACACTCACACAGTTTCACTGATAAAAACAACCTCCCACAGTTTGTTAATACAGACACACTCAAACAGTTTGGCTGATACAGGCACACTCACAAAGTTTGGCTGATACAGATACACTCACACAGTTTGGTTAATACAGACAAACTCACATAATTTGGCTGATACAGACATACTCACACAGTTTGGCTGCTATAGACTCACTCATACAGTTTAGCTGATACAGGCACACTCACACAGTTTGGCTTATATAGACACACCAACACAGTTTGGCTGATAAAGTTCCAGTCACACAGTTTGGCGGATAAAGACACACTCACACAGTTGGGCTGATACAGACACACCACTCACACAGTTTGGCCGATCCAGACACCCTCACACAGTTTGCCTGATATAAACAACCTCACACAGTTTGTTAATACGGACACACTCACACAGTTTGGCAGATACAGACACACTCACCCAGTTTGGCTGATATAGCCACCCTCATACAGTTTAGCTGATACAGACACAATCACAAAGTTTGGCTGATACAGAAACACTCACACAGTTTGGTCGATACAGACACACTCACCCAGTTTGGCTGATACAGATACACTCACACAGTTTGGCAGATACAGACACACTCACACTGTTTGGTTAATACAGACACACTCAAACAGTTTGGCTGATACAGATACACTCACACAGTTTGGCGGATAAAGACACACTCACACAGTTCGGCAGATATAGACACACTCATTCATACAGTTTGGCCGATACAGACCCACTCACACAGTTTGCCCGATACAGACACAATCACAAAGTTTGGCTGATACAGACAACCTCCCACAGTTTGTTAATACAGACACACTCACACAGTTTGGCTGATACAGACTGTCACGCAAACATGTATATTTTGGTTGATATATTGTATTTAGTATTTTGTACGGAGTTTATTTTTTAGTATAATGTATGTTGTCATTTATAACCGGGGTAAGTAACCTTAATAGTTAGACATTGTTTGGCGGAAATGCGTCACGGGTAGACGTGCACGGGGTAAGCTGTTTACAGCGACAGACATTGTTTCTGTGGCTTGTGTACCCGGTATGGATTATCGAAATATTACGGCATGTGGAACAGGCACAGAATACAGATTGTGGTAAGTGTACTTTCACTCTTTCTCTGTTCTGTTTTAGTCGGTATTATTGTATTGTACCATGTTATTATTGGGTCAAACAATCTAGGTATCTGTGCGCTCCAGTCAGCCGTGACCATTGTTTAGCGTTTAGGTAGGAATATGTTGTATTTATGTTGTTTTTATGCTAGATTTCATATGTTGTGGATGTATAAGTATCATATATTGACTATATGAATATACTTGATTGTTGTATATGAAATTATCTAGTTTGTATCGTATGATTTACCTATTCATAAATCTATGGAAGCCCAGTTCTATTGTTACAGTGTTGAGTGTAGTGGGTACGCGCTCGGGTGGAAAATTTATGGAAGCCCTGAGGTGTCATTTTTCGGATTGTGCTTTTTTGTGTTATTTCGTGTATAAATTGGAGCCGCACATAAGTTCTGCGTATTTAAACATATTCTAGTAACTTATAAAGGATAGTTTACATTATCGTTAATTAAAAAGGGTACACTTGATTATTATTCAGGACTTAGGCTATGCGTTAGAAAAGTATGAAAACGTGAGTGATGAGGTTAACTATGTTTGTCAATTAACTTATTGTAGCTTCGCATGACGGGTTAGCAGTCTCAACAAGTGAGTCAGGACCAGGCAGTTTCGCTGATACAGACACACTCACACAGTTTGGCTGATACAGAACAGACACACTCACACAGTTTGGCTGATACAGACACACTCATACAGTTTGGCTGATACAGACACACTCACACAGTTTGGCTGATATAGACACACTCACACAGTTTGGCTGATATAGACACACTCACACAGTTTGGCTGATATAGACACACTCACACAGTTTGACTGATACAGACACACTCACACACTTTGGCTGATAGAGGTCACACTCACACAGTTTGGCTGATAGAGGTCACACTCACACAGTTTGGCGGATATAGACACACTCACACAGTTTGGCTGATAAAGACACACTCACACAGTTTGGCTGATACAGGCACACTCACACAGGTTGGCTGATAGAGGTCACACTCACACAGTTTTGCTGATAGAGGTCACACTCACACAGTTTGGCGGATATAGACACACTCACACAGTTTGGCTGATACAGACACACTCACACAGTTTGGCTGATAGAGACACACTAACACAGTTTGGCTGATACAGGCACACTCACACAGTTTGGCTGATAGAGGTCACACTCACACAGTTTGGCTGATATAGACACACTCACACAGTTTGGCTGATACATAAGGGAACATGAACAACGAAACTGATTTACATTGAATTAATTTCATTGAAAATGATTGTGAAATCTCACCGTTTTTGGTTTTTTTACCATTAGATATAGCCATGTCCATGAGACCGTCTATATTGGGTCAGTAAAGTCTGCTCCAAAATGCTCTCTAAGTTTTATTTAATCAAATTTCCATTGGAGGTTTTTTAACAAGTTTTAGAATTACAGTAACACAAAATATGATCACAGAAATACTCAAACAAATCTCTTGCAACCATACATTTTATTCGCATGAACCACGGCGGGACATGTATTCATGAAACATAATGCTGTTACGCCCATTTTCTACTTTTGTTTTCTAAAACGTAAAAAATCAGTGTTTTTATTTTTTTCGATGCCATCGCAAACGTGTACCAACTTCAAATTTGGCACAACATTAAATCATTAGATTTTGTTTCTCTTTGCAAAATATAAAATTGGTACATGTCTGCAGAGGTACTTAAATCCGTGTATAAATCAAAGAATACGTAACATTTTTCCATTTTTCCCAAAGACGTGCCGTTTCCCGCCAAATTTATGACGTCATCACGCACAAAATTTTTGGGGAAAATATTGATTTTGAAAACTTTATTTCCTATTCTAGCTTATAAAATGAAATTTCTAATAAAATATGATACTTCAAAAATTCTATATTTTCTGGGCCAATTTTGGTCCCTATCGCCCCTGCTCTTTCATCATTTCAAATGGATTATTAAAAAGAAAAATCTAAAATCTTGATTTAATACTTATAGTGGTGGGAGACGTGACAGTCTCTAACCTGCTGTGTCTAACATGCTAAATATATTTAAATTAAAAACATACATCCTTCATGGATTGGCATATCGGCTCAAACCATTTGTTTAAACATTCTGCCTACAACACACGATATCATTTTTATTCTATGGTTTTTTTTCAAATGGTAGAATCTATTTGTTTCTTTTGGATAAAAATAATAATACATATTATAATGAACATACACGAGTAGAGGGAGGGGGTATATACTGGTAGTCTTGGATAAAACAAGAACCAAATAATGATTCTATTACTATCAATGTGGTCTAGTAGTACTGTAGTACAATCAGTCAACTTCAAACTAATATGTGATGCGTCATATTGGTGTAGTGTGACTGTGGATCATTCTAAAACAGAGCACACATAAGTACAAGGATGAATGATTTTGCCCAGCAACAGATTAAAGTTTATTATCAAAAATCAATTATAGGTACATTTTGTATGTATAAAATGGGTAATGTTATGATTCAAAAATTATACAATACTATTGAAACAAATGTACGAGCTTCACTCTCTCCAGGCCATGCCTGAGTCATATTATAACTCTTTCAAATCCAATTTAGTTTTAAAATATGACATATTGCTCAGAACGACTTAATAAAAATGTGCCGAAATTGCCCCTGTCCCAATATGGAGACATATATTTTGAAATAAGATCCCACAGCTAGCAAGGGTTAAGGGAGAGATGGGGGATGAGGGATCCTGGTTTAAACCCCCACCCCCTGCACGAACAAAATATAATAGTACATCGATTGAATTATGTGAGGACTGGATGTTCACTCTACTGACAGTACATACAATGTAACTGTTAAATTTTGTAGGAAACAGTAATTTCACGTGTATGTATGCCCGCTGTTTAGGTCTCGCCTATTGCATATTAGGTCTTTACAGCCATATAGCTCAATCGGCAGTGTACTGGACCTGATGATACCTGTTACTTTCGTACCCCCTCCCCCGCTGTTACTTTCGTACCCCCTCCCCCGCTGCTACTTAACAGACTAATTCAATTAGTAATTGGATGCACATCTTTATTTCCTGTCATTCAAATACACTGCAAGCATATCAGCAAAAATATAAACAATCACTCACTTAATTTAGGAATTCTTGGCACCACCGATCTCAACATAAAGGCCATTATTATGTGTTTTCACTACAAACCACTCTTCAATGTCATGCTTTCCGTAAATTTTCCATGGGCGCCGCCATTTTGTATTGTAACTCAAGCAAGTAAGTCAAATATAGGGCAGATGAATGCTTATAAATATTAAGGTCGCCGTTTTATCATTTATTATTTTAACACTTCGTTCTTATTCAAATAGTGATGGCTAGTAAAATACGTTTGATTTCATGGTTCGATTAATTTGAGTAACAAAATTTAGTGACAGACGTGTGTCGAAGGCGATGCGCCTCTGCATTTGTAATGCTTGACCGATTGAACCAAACGTAGCCTAACTGGCATCGTTTCGCCCTGGATCCCTTTCGCACTACGGGTCGTTTGGCCCTAAATTCAGGTAGTCCAATGTTGTGTCATCCTAATATAGGTCTATATTTTTAATTGATAAGTACAGCTATCTGTTGAAATGTTTAAAATGATTCAAAACGCTTTTAATTTTATGTATCACGAAACAATTGTGTTAACGGTCGGAAGAATTTCATGAGTTGTGTACATGTAGCTACATTGTACGTCGACCACGTACACATATAACGAGTCTATATCTGTATGGTCACGAAGAAAGGACCAATTCTGGTATATAATTAATTCTTCGGGAGAGAGGCTGGTTACTCTAGTAGTAGTAATGCGAGTAAAGCAAACAGAAGAGGCATCGCAACAATCTCAATCGAGATTTCCAATGATGGAAGACTACTAAGAATAGTAATGTGTGAGAGCGTCTTTGAAACACTGAACTGTCTCTGCGCGTATCACATCCTCATCAAGCTGGTTCCAATCATGTTTTAATTGTTTTAACTAGTTTTACTCATGAAACACTGTGAGTTAATTGTCACACCTTTTTCGACAATGTTAGCATACTGAAAGTCTGAGTAAGCTTTAGTCGGGATGCCTAGGCTTTTCTTCGGCACTCTAATGGGCACTGTTTAAGGTTTCTGGATATTTAAGGATATTGTAGTTCCGGTCAGTGTTGTATTAATACGCTAAGAATTGTGTCTTGTGATGCATGGTAATTAAAGTCCCATCAACGACACAGCTTTCAAAGAGGCTATATATAATAATATAAATATAGGTATCATAAGTAATAACGACATAAATATATATATATATGTATTAGTCCGATTCTGACCCGGTCATGTCTTTTATCAAATATACCTTATACCCGATTAGGATAATGAAATATATACAATAAATATATATAAATAAGTCCGTTCCTGCCCCGTTCCTGTAAATCGTCGCCCGTTTCTGTCCGTTCCTGTAAATCGTCGCCCGTTCCTGCCCGATCCATATCAATACATTACTCTTAATTCGTTGCAATTCTTTTATCAAATACATCTTATACCCGATAAAAATATATAATAACAAAATTATAGGTCTCATAATTATATTTATAACGACATAAATATATATAGATATAATTTATTCCTATTCTGCACCGATCATGTAATTGCAATCCTTTTACCAAATATATCTTATACCCGATAATGATACTTTCTGCCCGTTCCTGCCCGTTTTTGCCCGTTTCTGTCCGTTTCTGCCCGTTCCTGCCCGTTTTTGCCCGTTTCTGTCCGTTTCTGCCCGTTCCTGTAAATCGTCTAACCGGTTTCTCCTTACGAATCCAAGGGTTGGTTGACGGGTTTTGCGCCTGCATGAATCCGCCCTTACGGGTTTCATCTCACTGACGGAAGTCAGTGTTCTGTCGGCGTGTCATCCAAGGGTAGAGTTTGCCTTTTATATACTTTGAATATGTGTGTTGTCCAAATTAAGTCTTGTGATATTGTGACCCACTCCTTAGTAGAGACTTGATATGTTGAAAGATGCAACAGGGACCTGAGAATTTGTTACAGCTATATTTGGGATCCGACGATTTACAGGATCAGGCAGGATCGGGCGACGATATACAGGATCGGACGGAATCGGGGCTGGATCGGACTATTTCATGGTTGAATGATATGATGTGAGATTGCGAAATTAAAATCTCCTTATGTTTTAATTTCAACAAAGCATTTTTTATGTTTTAACTTATCTGAAAGCCATATCTGCTCCGATGATAGCCGGGTCACCTTAAGGTGGCTCCACACTTTCGCAATTAACCAGCAAAATTCGTTGAAACTTTCATATAATGGTTATGCAACTATGTAGAGTTGATTTTACGAAAATCTAAACATTCCGATAGTTTGGGGACTTTTTTGGAAAAAATACAAAAAATTGAATTTTAGTCAATTTTAACATTTTCCGGGTTTTTATGAGTGTGGCATTGTTCGGAACAATAACAACAATAATAAAATGAAAAGAAGCATTTCTAATTAACCCTACAAATAGCTTATTTATCGCAAAATATTTAACACATGTTACACAAAGTGTTTTTTATTGAATTTGTACGGATAAAAGTGATGATCTACAAGCTAAAAGCAAACAGGACACAAATATCTATACATATAGAATGGGAAATTGAACAAAATATACACAATGGCTTTATAATTAATGTATTTTACATTTTACAATCACTTTGATCCGGGTGAGAGTTATCTTCCTTGAAAAAAATCGGGAACTTTTTGCAGAGGGACGACATTTACACAATGACGGTTGTCTCTGTTTACATATAACAAAAATGATGGAAATTAATCAAAAATATGATATCAAAATTATCAATTTATTGTTCTTTAATGGAACCAAATTTCTCTCAGTCATGTACACTTTGAACATCATTCCACAGTCCGCTAACTCACGGTATATTTATAATTACATGTCATGTACATATATGTGACCAGAGGCTATCGCATGGTATGCCGTTCTCACGTGCACTCACACATGCATTTCATAGGTATCTTGATATTTTACAAAACATTGTTTTCACAGAGTAAGTAGACTACATTTGTAAACACGATTTAATCGACAGAGCTAAACTCCCTCAACAGCGAAAATCGTAACGACCTCGAGCTTATGAACTCGTGTAAGCACGTGAGGTCGGTAAGTCCGCATTCCATGTGTTTCCTATATGGCCTTCTTGAGGTCGTCTGGTCTCATGTCACTGTCTTCCCTTGAGTCTGTTTATGTCTATGAATTGGAAAGCTTTATTCCTGAAGTACGTGTGATTATACATTTCCCGGTAAAATCTCGATATCGGGTGTTGACATATCGGCACGCAGGTGTACTATTGTTTACCAGGGGCCTGTTCGTTTATGCGGAACAACCGGTTTGACCGTTTATAAATGTAACAATTTCGGGTATAAATCCTGGCGGACCTGCAAATGTGTATGCATGCCTTGCAAGGCTTTGTCAAGGCTCGCCTGAAAGCAGCATCAGATTACTAGGTCCGACCTTATTTAATAAACGAACAACAGTGGTCCGATTGGTTTGACCTTTTAAACGAAAACGGCCCTGCAGGTGTTACTATAATTTGCACTACGATATTGAATGCCCGATACGCAATACGGAAATGACGACACGGTGTACATGCACATTTCGATCAAGATAATTGAGTCCGAGCTGTACTTTTTCCGGAAGTACGTCACGAAAATGGACGCTGATGACGATGTGTGGAGCCACCTTAATGGGTGCCCAGCGAGGTTTTCGCGCGCCAAGCAATTCGTTAAAGGACTTTTTGTAATTATTTTTTTCTGGTTTATGCAGTAAATGCACTCGCCTAACTATATGCATAGTTTCATATTTGATATATTTATAATGATAAAATAATTAATAAATATTAACACAATGAAAGAACTGCAGTATCTAACGAAACTTCTTTCCAGTTGTTCAAAGACTTGATTAAGCTGTTTGTACCTTCAACAATATTATTTTCAATGCCTGTACACAATGTCACCCATAGTATTATAACTGCTAAGCGGCTAATAGCTGTATAACATCCTCCATGTAAATTGACATACCACTACTACCCCTATGCAAGACATAAGTCTTGTCAGGAGTCAGTTAGAATATTGTTGTCAGATCTGGTCTCCTTACCAAACATCTTTAATTCACCAGGTCGAAGTTGTCCAGCGTAAATTTTTGAATTTTTAATGCACAAGTTGACTACAATACCATGTCTTACGCTGACACTTGTATGCATTTTAATCTTCCTAGCCTCGAACATAGGCGGGCATTTTCAGACGTGTGTATTTCTTTACAAATGTGTTAATAGTGCTTTTGATTGTCCATATTTAGTCAAGCAAATGAGTTTTTAGTCCCTGGTCGTAATCTACGATCAATTCGTTTCAACCAGTTTTACTGCCAGAGAAGTAGAATAAACGTTAGAAAGTATAGTATTTTAACAGGATTTAATGTAATTTTAACTCTCTTGATTTTGCACCAGACTGCGATATGTTTCGTTCCTCTCTCGCCGAGTTCCAAGTACGGTTAAAGAATAGTTGCTATCACTAATTCCTTTTGTTTTACATATGAGTATCTTTTAGTCTGTGTTACATGCATAACTAACTGTGATATTTTATATTTGTGTTGAAATGTTGTTATCCATTCTGTAAGTGGACCCTTGGGTCTATTGAATTGGAAATAAATAAATGCTGGTTTAACCAAAATCTTATATCTATACGAATATGATTCCAACAAAATTTGGTAAAACCCCGGCCTTGGTCGCCCATACTCGGCAAGACGATTTACCCCAAAACACCCCAAAACACCTCACCGATAGCGTTTAGCTGAAGAAATAGTAAATCATTACATTGAAGGAAATTCAAATGTGTCCAGGCCCTGTCACTGAGACGGTGTCTTCAATAGATTGTGGACAACTTGTTCTGAATTGATTTCTTGCTGGGATTTAAATCTCATGTCAATTAATCAGTATTACGTGATTTTGGCTTGAAGAAGGTATATATCTTCTTTGAAATAATTTACTTCTGTCAACATACTATAACACCGAAATACCGGATTGGAAGTAATAGACGACCATGACATATAAGATATTCCGGAAAGTATGATGTAGTATTATAAGTATTTAGTAAATAATTAATACAAAGGTCAATTAAGATATTATCTTGATAACATGGTGTCATCTTTTGTTTTGTTTTAGTGGCTATTTTTTTGATAAATGGCACACATGGATTTTTTATGTGTAAGCCCGGGCTTTTTTTCTATGGACGCAACTTTGCGCCCCTGCGCAACGATGCAATTACAAATAAGTAAACTCCATGTGTTTGTATAAATAATTTACTAGATTTTTCAAAACTTTCAATCAACTTTGAAGGCAATACCATCACACTTGTCCAGTCAGATTTAAATTCAAAATGTTTTTTTATTGTTATTTACTTAATACAAACAAACATGATTACAAGTATTACATAAGAAATATAACAGTACACGTATTAATACAGCAGGCTAAGCTTATTAAGTCTTTTCCTGTATAACCGGGATCCAATTATTTTAATTTCATTCAGATTTTGAACATGTATACCAAAATGACATTATACCGGTATCACCTACATTTTTTTATTTATATAAAGTTACATAATAAACTACATTAACAGTATTTTAATTTAAATTGTAGTGCACAACCCCTTCGTTGATAACATATATAGTCGAAATGCATTTTTTTTGTCTCAGTTTCCGCGTGTCGGAGCCATACTTCATGGTAATCTAGAATTGCATTTCAAAATACGACTATTTATATATTGTACTGATCTTTTTAATCTTAAATGGTATGTTCTTTATAGTATTTATGTATATCTTAGTCTCTTGTCGGGACAATTTCTTACGGTATTCCAATATATACGATTTACTTCCCCTTAACTGGTAGCATAACCTCTTTTTTTTTACAGAAAAGACTAAATCATTCGTCTGAGGTTATTATTTAGGCTACAATATAATAGGTTTGAAGGTGTTATTGGTAGTTTTGGTAGTTTTTGGTGTGTTTTTGGGTAGTTTTGGCGTGTTTTTGGGTAAATTTTCGTGCCGCTTATCCTTGGTGTTCGTGTTGGATGGTTCGTATCAAATTCCTAATGGTAAGCAACCACGCAGAAATCGTTTGTTAAGTAACATTTAGCATTCGATTTAATTTGGAAATTTAATGATAAAGGTGGACATAAAATCTAGTTTTATATTTGTTAAATATAATTATGCTTATGGCAGAATTGGAACTTTTGAAACATCTGTAAAAAAAGTTGTAGCCTAGCAAGTCCCGTTTGACACGATATTTTGTAGTCAACCACACTGTAAACAATATGGCGGGCATTATCAGATTTTTGTCGATAACGCTATGAAGCGAATACATTTATTTCGATATTAACACTTCTTGGGATATTAACTTGTTTACACAAGGTACAAGATGTAAGTACAAACGAATTTTTTTTCGACAGTAAATGAAAAATACTTCGGATTTAGTTGATCTTTCAACAGAACAGGTGCTCTTTATAGGATGATTGCTGATAAACTAAACAGTCAGACAGTTGCTTATACCGTTATGTTGACTTAATTTGGTACAGTCAAGTTTAATGAAGGAAATATATGCATCAACATAGGGTTGTTGTATATGCATGGCCAGCGTGTCATTCAGCAGACAGAGCATGTTTTTCGTTACACGTTGATAGAGCGGGGTATACTATTTCAAGTATTTGGTACCACCTCATAACCTCATAAGTAGATTCATCACTGTAATATTTTCAGTATTTGAACTGAGGTTTAAAACCGGTACTTTGTTTGTGCTTTGTGTGCCATTGATTTTCTGTTTCAACATTCGTAGCCATATATACAGCATTCACAAAGCCACCAAAATCACATTGAAATATTAGATATTGTATCACTATGAGTAAGTTTTGCAGCCGTAATTATGATGCCTTTTTGAGTGGCCATTTTGTCAAACTCTATCACATTACTGCATGACCTGTGTGTGACCCTGCATGCACAAGTATATTTTAATACATCATCTGTTCATAATTTAGAGACTGCATGAATGTCATATCTGAAAATGAAATCATTGATTTCACTTAAGACCCAATCCGTTTTGTTTGCAACTGTCAGACCTGCTAACCTTTGAATCTCCCAATGGGGGTCATGACCCCCATTGGGAAATTCTGTGGGGGGTGATAACGCGCGAACGAAAATTTGTGTAGAAATTTAATAATATTGCGGGGTCTCGGCTTCACGGCGTATTATGTTTTGTCTTCTGGCAAGTTCAATGACTTTTTTGAAATTAACGAAACATTTTATCACACTTTCATTGTTTTATTACATATTCTTAATCAATATACATGTTTTTCTTTTCCAAGGTGCATAGTGAAAGCATGAACCATGTTGATTTAGTTTTGTACATAACAAAGCACATATTGTATCATTTCCTAATTCAGATCTCCCTTCTGTCTGGATCTTCTTCAACATGGAAAATGTTCTCTCAGAGTCAGCATTACTCACTGAAAGTACCAAACATACCTTCATTAGCCTACACAACATACCAAACCTAAGATCATTCTCAAAGGGTTCTTTAACTGCATGCCTTTTGATATCGTACGTAGCACCCGAAGCTACCGAAAAATGATTGGTACACAGTTTACAATAGGCATGATCGGGTCCAATATTACTCTTCTGAAGCCAGTCATAATCTTATTCCCACGAAGCATTGTAATTACAGGCATACATTTTCTTTTTTGACGATGAACACTAAAATAACGAACGTTTTCTCGGGTTAGAAGCCATTTCCGGAAGTACGGAGATCCTAATGAAAGACGCGGATGCGGGTGATTGCGGGTCATATTTACGGAATGCGGGAGATACGTATGACCCGCGCGGGTCATAAGATCGTCGCGGGTGATATGTTCATTTTGCGGGTGTGACCCGCAGAATGCGGGTCATTTAGCAGGTATGAACTGTCCAATATGTACATCCGAGTATTATATGCAAATGAGGGCACACATCCTGGCCATTTTTTCCCCTGTCGAAGCCTAAAGGAGACATTGTTACGGCACGATTTCTCACCCGACACAATTTCTTACCCGGGAACTTGTACCCGTACATGTAATAGCTAGATGAGCTGACATGATATCAAATGACTTGTAGTTCAATGTACAACAGGCCTAATATCTATTTATTCTTTAATCTATCAATCTATTTATTCATTCACTTTTGAAATACACGCAGAACTTCTGCGTGAGATGGAGGGAGACTATTTTCAAATGCGTGAGATTTATTGCTCACGCGGCGTGAGACATGTTTCAGCGTGAGTAAGGACGTTTTTGTCTCACGCCCTGAAAGTTGGCAATCCTGGCAGAAGACTTAAGAAATCTTCACAGATTCAATTAGACGATAACAAAAATAAATAATGTTGCCCAATTACAAGGTATTTCTGTATCAATAACTTGCCTGTCCCACTTGTTCTCTCCTACACATCTGGAACGCATACGGCACAGCACACTACCCTCTACAGGCACACACATGCACGCACATGTGCAGTGCATGTGCACGCACCTTCTTAAACACATTCAAACGCAATCCTGTTCACCCAAATTGTGAGAGAATAAACACATCGGCTACCACTTCTTTTAATGAAAGTACGTACCTGTATTTATCTTCTTCAGGACGATTTGTTATGATGAATTTTAATTACTAAAAATGCCCTTTTTCTATTGTTACTTGTGACGTCATACAATTGATGTCGCATGATCTTATCTAGTCACGATTACTCTACATGCTCCATGACATTCCATAGTTTTCCATCAAAAGTGTTGTAAGATAAACATTTATAAAAATGGTGGGCTCACATTGTCCTTTTCCAACGTTATTAACTTATTGCATGTAAGATAAATTAAACTATAGGTTGCCCTTATGATATATAGTCCTGAGTTTCATAAATAAAACATTAAATATTCAATAGTAATTATTAACATTGTTCATCTAAACATACGCTAGAATCTGATGCTGATTTATAATTAAGTGTCTTGTAGTTCACGAACTTGGCTTCCAATTGGTTAGGTGTAGATGATGAGCTGTCACTGTCAAACATCTCGAAGTCTTTCTTTAGTAGATCTACGACTTCAACAATAACCGGTCTAAAGTTTTTGTGGGCCGGTCCAACTGTTCTAGTTCCTATGGCTGCTGTTACTCTGAATTTTACTTGATCCATTTGTTCCTTAGTTAGAGATTGAAAAGGGCGTTTGTTTCCATGTTTTTCTGCGTTCTGCTTACTGGCGTCCTCCATTACTTAAGGTTCCACTGTGTATCCTGGATGCTGTTAATTTCGTTAGATGACGGTTATAGGTTTCCTTCCTCCCGTACGACGGCTTGCACATTTTGCACTTGTACCAGGTTCTTAATCTGACCATGTTCTGTGCTTGCATTCCATCGTATTTTTTTTATGCTGGAGTAAGTTCTTCCACATCTAATACATGGTTTGTTTAATCTATTTCTTGATTGTGTTTGTCTAGTGTTAACAATTATGACAACTTGTTCATATCTTCCGGTTGTGTTGTTCTAAGTATTCGGATCCAACTCTCTTCATTTCGGAGTCGACGGTTAGTGTGGCTGATGTTAGATAACAAACCTGTTACTTTGACGTCATAAACATTGTTACCAGGCGACGTGAAATGTCCTGCCACTGGTTTGTCTGGGTGTTTATGGATTATACTGTATAAGTGATTGCATATCACGTGTTTATAGTCGTAGACGTTTGTCCGACATACTGCGTGCCGCATTTCTTACATGATAGACTACATTCACACTTGGCATGTGATGTGTCCCTGTACTTTTTTTGTAGTGTAGCTTGTGAAGTGTTTTCCGTTTGCTCCATTTGTTTGCATATACGACAGTTCTTATAGCTTATATTAGTTAGGGGCCCTTTTAGTGCCCATAGCCGAGCCTAACTTCTGTAAATAGTATTCTTCATTAAATCTAAAACAGTTGTTAGTGAGTATAAGTGCTATCATCGGAAGGGTGATCCACGTACTGGGTTGCGTGTTTTGATCTCTTTCGTCTAATAATAACTTGGTGGCCCTGATTCCTTCAGAGTGCGGAATCAAAGTGTACACACTTTGTCAGCTGTACATAGTGTGCTACCTATGGGTAATTTCCCCAAATTAGTAATCCTATGTAGGAAATCGTTGCTATCTCTCAGGTAAGAATCTGTATTAACTGCTAATGCCTTGAGATGGAAATCTACAAATTCCGATATTTTTTCAGCACAGCTGCCTATTTGTGATACTATTAGGCCTGCCAGGATTTCCTGCTTTGTGTATCTTATAATAATAACAATAACAATAATTCTTTATTTATAGAAGGTAGCTCAATTAGTTACAAAACTTTTCTCCCTTGAGGCCTTCTCTACAATCTAAGGCAATACTATATACAGAGTAATAGCATAATAAATATATGAATATAAATTCAGATATAATTAAAAGTCAACATTGCAAAGATTTGAAATACAGTTCTAGCATAATTACAGCCAAATATGTTGCTGTAAAATGTGTAGTAAATTAATTGTACATGGATCCGGATACAATGCAATTATATTATCAATACTTAAAATATGAAATCAAGAAGCATGTTCATAATAATTAATAGACAAGATTGCAAAGTTTGTAAGCTATTCTAGTATAGGAACTTGATTACATGGAGGATATAGCATATGGTCATAGTATATATGGATCAAACTAGAAATCAGAGGTGAAGAAAGTGCTTAAAACATTTTGTCTTGACAGACTGCAGACTGTCAGAATTTTTAATTTGTAAGGGCAATCCATTCCATACATGAATACCAGACATTTGAAAGCTTTTCTTATATTGTTCTCTCATAGGTTTGGGTTGGATCAGTTCTCTATCTGTTGTAGAACGTAAAGTATAATTAGATGGAGATTGGACAAAAACATTCTTGAGGATTTATACATCAGTAGAGCTTTGTGATAATTCACCCTTTTATTAATTTCTAGCCACTGTACGTAGTTTTAAAACAAATTGGCTTAGATGGTGCATCTGATGGCTCATTGAGGATGATACATGCTGCTCTTTTTTGTAACTTTAGCACTCTATCTAAGTTTTGTTTGGAACATTTTCCCCATATAGTTATACAGTAATGCAGTAGTGGCAAAATATAGGCATTATAGTACAGTATTCTGGTATTCTGAGGCAATTACTTCCTTATTTGAATAAGCAATGCTAACTTGGCTCCTAACATTTTACAAAGGGCCGGTTTCCAAAACGGCCCCTTCTCTGATTCAAATTTCCTGTTGGTGGTGCATTGCCCATGCCGTTGTGGTCACAAATCTATAAAGTATAAAGATTTAGGTCACTTGGTTTGTTTTTTATGGCTCCTCAAAGTTGTACCTTTCAGAAGCTGTCTAAGTGTT